AATGATTTGGTTAATATTTGAAATCAATAGTTTGCTAAAACGCACGAAAACGAAAATTAACTAACTCGACGTAGTGAATATTGACTCTTGGTTTTTAAATTATTTGTACTGTACTGTAAAAATGAAAAATCACTAACCCATTTTAATCTTTTTTTCTCTTTTAAAAGGGAAACGTAAGACCTATAGTGAACAAAAATTAAAATTTAAAGGTTTTATTTTTGTTCACTATAGGTCTTACGTTTCCCTTTTAAAAGAGAAAAAAAGATTAAAATGGGTTAGTGATTTTTCATTTTTACAGTACAGTACAAATAATTTAAAAACCAAGAGTCAATATTCACTACGTCGAGTTAGTTAATTTTCGTTTTCGTGCGTTTTAGCAAACTATTGATTTCAAATATTAACCAAATCATTGTAGTGATTTTTAATTTAACTATTGACAAGTGGATGCATTCACAATTGAATAGGAAAATAATTAAGTGGACTTAATTTTAAGTCATGCAATTTTTTCGTAAATGTATAATTAATTAATTAAGTTAGTTATTTCTCCAATTATGATGTGGAGTCCAAAACATATGCTTATTTATTTTTCACATTCCGTAAAACAAAAACGACGACAGCTACATAAATACCGGTTAGACTGATTTATAGAGAAATAAAAGTTCATTTTAATGATAGTGATAACTCATTTTGGTAATTTTTGGACTTAGTTATTTTTCGCTCTACGGGGACGATGTATTCAGATGTAAGTATGTACATATGTATCAGATTCTATATTGATAATTTTATTTTGCAGCAATGTCACTGTCCCCATTATTCTTACCATTGTCATCGTCTCTTTTTTGTGTAGCTGGAGTACTATTGCCACTTGTTAAAGGCAGCCTGAAATAGCAAAAGTGTAAGTTTACTCAGTGTATTCTATTTCATAACAAATTTCTAAAGAGAGAAATATTAACCAACTAAGCAGAAATTACTTGCACATGTATCTACACAAAAAACATATGTGCACTCTGACTTTCTTGGTCCAATAAGACAGCAATCAAACAGCATTTTCTTTACATATTTACTAAACATACATACTTATTCTTAGTAAAATAGTTAGGTGAGTCCCATTGAACTTAAAGAGTTGCCTTAAAGTTCTATATCTTACTTACATCTACGAAATAAACATGCATTCCTACCAACAATTAGCAGGCTAAATATGGCTGTCACTGTTTATTCTTCAGCTACAGTAGCCATACTATAGTGTGCGAATTTTTAGTAGGCATGCACTTTTATTTCAAAGGTATGCTCAGTCCCGAGATGTTAATGGTGAGTCCACAATACAATAACACTTACCGGAATGTCAAAGCATCATCACAGTTTTTAAGGAATGTACAGAAATCTATGGGGTCTCCTACATCTTTCAGCACTTTGTAGTTCTTAAATTGTTTGTCTGAAGTTCTACATTGTTTCTTAAACTTGCAAGCTTGCTTCATATTCAGGAAACAATCCTTACATAGTTGGAATGTGAATGTGTCATTTCTTTTCACCTGGAATAGGAACATTAATGTTTTTAGTGATGACAATACATTTAATTTCAATGAATGTCACCACTGTGTAAGATATAGATATGATAGAAATGGATATAGAAAAGATAATGGTGTTTTACACATTATTTTAATTCATATCATTGAAAATATTAAATGAATTCCTCAATATTATAATAATTTAGTGTGGGAGAGCCATACTTCGGCACAAATGGGCCGGCTCGATTGAAGTGATACACGGCCTCACAGAAAACAGACGTGAAGCAACGCTTGCGTTGTGTTTCGTTGTGTGAATGAGGTTACCGGAGGCCCAATTACCCTCCCCTTCCCCAATCTCCCCAATCCTTGAATCCACAACGATCCTCAAACTCCTAATCCCCAAAAGGCCGATAACGCACTTGTAACGCCTCTGGTGTTCCAGGTGTCCTTGGGTGATGCCGATTGCTTACCATCAGGTGGTCCGTCAGCATGTTTACTGGCTTATGCCATAAAAAAAAATACAAAAAGTTAAACTGGTACATATTATTTGTTTTTATTATGGCTTTTTAACTGCTATGTAACATCTAAACAACCATTATGGAATGCAAATAAAAATATGAATATGAATACTATTCACCTGTAACCCAGTGGAGTACACAAACAGTCTTCTATATTTCTCTGTATACTGTAGTAACTCCATTGGATCATTGTATTTTATAAGGCAGCCTCTGCAAAATCCTTCCATGGTTCCCAATTTCTTATTGTTTACCTTGTTGTTTACTATTTGTTATCGTTCTCAGAGTCTGCTCAAAATAATATTTTTTACAAGATTTATACCGTTAGACTTATTTGAATACAAGACGTTAATATTTAAAACTACATTTTATACTAGATTTTCGTTTCGGTTTTTGTGTAGGTATCCAATCCAATGATAAAATACAAAAATCTGCATTTCAATTCAACAGTAAACAGTAGTGACAGTCTCCTCACATGACATGACAGTGACAAATTGGTGAAATTGACAAGGAAAGCGAAGCAAGCGGCGTGATAAAATAACATAACATAATAACATATTAATAACATAACATAACACCACACCTTTTATCCCTGAAGGCATAGGCAGAGGTGCACATTCACGTCATTTAATGCCACTGTGCAATATAACACCCACTTTTCACTAGTTATGTTATGTATGAGTCCCATATAATACGGGGTGAGGCTATTCCCACTGATATGATTAGTATCACGATAAGTATCTATGCTATTGCCATATACGGGGCACATTTCCAGACTTCGTGATACTACTGAGATTTTCTTTAAAACCCAGTAATACTTTGCCTGACCCTGGAATCGAACCCGAGACCCCTTGTCCGGAAGTCGCATTTGCGACCACTCGGCCAATGAGGCAGTCAGCAAATAAAATAACTTTATTAATAAAATCCTTTGCTTTGCCATACTGTGCACTGTACCGTACTAAACGAGACTGCATTCGGCGCTCTGATTTGTTGGTTCATTGTAGCCGGTCAATCAGAGCGCCGAACGCTTACTCGTTTTGATTACTTTTCACGTAAAAAAACTCGTCCTAAGGCCTCTGGTAGGGAGCGCCGCTCTAAATAAGTTTTACTGAATGAAACTATCTTCAATGATCGGACAAAACTGTGTAAAGAAACGTCTGAGCCACTTTGAGGCTTTGAGCGTCAAACTGACATCTCACGTCATTCGATTGAAATAAACAGTGACGACGACTTGACAACATTGCTTTTGTGAATATTTTAAAATGGAAAATAGTTCAGAAGTTCAAGTTACAATTAAGAAACCTGGAAGGGTTCTACATTTTAGCGATGGTGTTGAAGAAGAAATAGAAGAAGAAGAAGTAGCAGAGTTAGCGAGTGAACCACAAGAAACGAATGTTGATCCGGTGAGTAACCACAATGCATACATTGTTTGTTTTATTACCTCCAGCAAAGGTAAGACCTTGATGTTATTAGTTTCTAATAATATCAATGACGGTAAAATTCTGCATGATATTTTACGCATTTCATTATATTTTGATCTGCGTACTAAGTTTTTAAAGTACTTAATTCACAAATAGGATGTTTTTCGTTTGTTATGATTCATGACGTATTTTCATTAACTTACTTTAGATTCTTTACTAAATAACTAGATATGAAAAAAAAAAAATTTGACATGCTGTACTTACATTACATTAATCAAAATGCATGCAGTATGACAAATGAATTCCTTTGTTTCTAGTGTTTGTAGCACAGTACAATATAATTAAATATTCTGCTTTTTAATTGTATGGCAATTACACTTTTTAAAATGATCTACAACCCAAAATCTATAAAGATTAATCAATGACTTATCAAAAGGACAAATATGTTTAAATAATAAATAATTAAATATACAAAACTATAACCATACTTCAAAGAATTCTGTATCATTATGCCTGTATCTTAATTTTCAGAAAACTCTACAATGGGGTCCCTGGTTCTCCCATTATGCATGGAAGTCAGGTAACAAAGTTCTGAATGCAGTTGACTATGCTGGCGAGTCACTGGCTAGTTTCTTTGGCATTACCACACCAAAATACCAAATAGAAATTGATGAATATGAAAGAATAAAAGAAGAAAAAAGAAAAATGGATGAAGATTCTGCTGGTTGGGTACCCAAGAATGGCGGTGGAGACATACCTTTAGTTCTTAATGAACCCATCAAAGACAAAGCAGAGGTTTAGAAAAAAAAATAGAACAGTCTACTTCTCTTTGGATTATTCAGTATTGGTATTTGATTAGTGACATTATTGATATTATTTTAAGATTTATTTTTCAATATCCAATTATAAGTATCTGTCAATATTTTATTTGTTGTGTAAGTAATAATTTATTGTTTGTTAATGTTTTTTTTAAATGAAATGCAACTGGTAAAGTTCTGAGTACATTGTGTTTAAGAAAGAATGATTTTAATATATAGGATAATATTGATCAATTTGTTTCTGGAAATTAAGAAGAAAGGAATTTGATTATGTCTCGATTTTATTTGTGTTATATTGTATAACATTTTTTAACTAAGATAGTATTAGATGTGACTAAATCTATGTGCTAATATAATTCGCATATTACGAGGGACTGAATGTATTAGAGCTTTATTTTGTTGTACATATTAATAATAAAATTTATATTTAACTCAATGATATTCCTTTAATTTCAAACAATAATATAATTATTATCTTATAATAGTATGTTCTGTGTAAGTACCAATTTTCAACTCACTAAAGAACAATTTTTATAATTTGAGTTTACTATTTTTGTTAGGTCTTAGACACAAAATTTAAATCTATATCGCAGTATCTATTTATAATATTAAAATAACCACTTTTTACTACATGCATATGAATATACATACGATACACATTCCAAAATAACATTTTTTACAATTTTTGCCTGTTTGTACTGACTAATCTCTGAAATGGCTAGACCGATTTCGCAAGACTTCTAATGGCAGGTAGCTGATGTACTAAGGAGTAATATACTAGGATACTATGATTTAAAAAACTGTTTTTTTTTTGTTATTTGTGTATGTTAAAGATCTATTCAAAAATTTTATTTTAAAATCTTATTTAATATACATGTATAAATATCCAACTAGAAAATATGTAATTACATAAAAGCAGCGATACTTTCAAATAAGAATTTCGAAATTGGAATTTCAGTGTATTTATTAGATCACAGCGACATCTATTTTTGGAATAAAAGTTCGATAAAAAGCGACATCTCGTAACTAGTAGCAAGCACTAATTGAACTTCCTTTCCATTTCAGTTAACGCGAATATCGCTAGATGGCAATGTATTCGCAATAATGTTTAGTAAAATCGTTTAAATACACTACTACTTCACAATTATTTTTACTTTAAAATTAGTTTGCCTAAGACTGTGTACCTATAATATTTTGTAAATTAGTCTATATTTTTGGAACATTGTGATATATTTTTTAAAACGTTTTTGACCCATGTAAATAGTTAATAGTTTTGAAACATACTTACAAAAAACGTTTTACTAGAATTTTAAATAATTCGTGTTTAGTAAATTCAATTTCATGACCTTATACGCTGAGTAACAAGGTCCACTATCGCGCATGGTCCACACACATTATAAATTAAACCCATTCTAAATAGCTAAAGGTAGTATGCGTCATGAAATTCTTCTTTTAATTTTGGACCTTATTAGTTAACAATAAGGTTGAAAGTCACATGGCAATTAACATATGTTATTGTTTGTCGGTGTTTAGCATGTGATATGTCGAAATGTAAACGGTTCGAGCGGTGTCCGCAGATCAATATGCGTGTTGCGCGGCCCGTGAGGGTGTTCGCCCCGTGCGATTGGCCGGCGTGTGGGGGGCGGGGCGAGCGTGTGTGAGGCGGCGCGCGTTCTCGCACGCGACGCGCCGTTTTGGCGCCAAATTGGGCAATAGGCATTCCATTTTCAAGTTTCACGAACGAGTATTAGGCCGTAAGCCACTAAGATAAGCTAAGGCCGTAGACTAGGGTAATACTTTTTGAATTTTATCGTCTATGGTACGAGCCGCACGGCTTAGAATTAAAGGTTAGAGACCTATTAGAACTTTATAATATTTTGTATAGGTAGGTATACGTCTATTTAGTTAGGATCTTACCTACTGAAGTAGTCGTTAGGTAAGTTTTTTTCGACCTCTGTATTACAAACGTACTCGTATTAGTTTTTCTCGGTGCCTAATTACCTACCTATCTATCTATTTTCTCCAATAGGTACCTACCTACTTACTACTTATCAGTAGTTGGTACGATTTGTTTATTGAAGGTTTTAAATAGGTAGGTATAGGTACTTACTTATGTAGGTAATTGCGACTATCAAATACTGAGGAATTGTGTTCATTGTTTGATTCGGGCAAATGATGTATTTTCCAAAAATAATTTTATTCCGGCCTGGTAACCTAATTACCTCCACGATTGGCACAGTAGGCTGGGTGACTGCTATGGAATGTATGCCAGTCGCGGAGAACCTAACGGGTAACCGGGGCTCCGGCTCGATGTGCAGGAGAAGGAACGGGGTGGTTTTTAGTCAGTAAGAGTCTGACACTCTCTCCCGCCTCACCCAGGCGGGAGCAGTCATTCGATGATTTTCCCACCTTAAAAAAAAAGGGTTATCTAAGTAGCTATCCTGCAAAATCTTAAGTAGGTATTAGATTTTCTTGGCTTATCACAATTAACTCGTTGAATACCGTCATTATAGACACGATTAAAGAACAATAGGATGCGGTCACCGGTGTCCTCGCGGTGTTTGCCAGTTTAAGACACTTTTTAAGGTAGGTAGGACTGGGTCTAATCAGTTTAATTGTGATAAGCCAAGAAAATCTAATACCTACTTAAGATTTTGCAGGATAGCTACTTAGGTAACCCTTTTTTTTTTTTAAGGGGGGAAAATCATTGAATGACTGCTCCCGCCTGGGTGAGGCGGGAGGGAGTGTCAGACTCTTACTGACTAAAAACCACCCCGTTCCTTCTCCTACACGTCGAGTCGGAGCCCCGGTTACCCGTTAGGTTCTACTTAGGTAACCCTTGGGCATACCTATAGAACGTTCCTCCTGTTACCAAAAAAGGTACCTACTTAATCATAACCGGAGTTGTCACCCAACAATACTACAACATGATTTACGTTTTCCATCCAATTGCAACAAAATTTACTACAAACGCGTATAATTATTATCTAATTCAATAATTCGTTAACACTGCAGGTCATTCCAGACAATATGGCACGGGACAATAAACACGCACCAAGGTTGCCAGTTTAAAAAATATTGCGAATTAAAGGCGCGTGGTCCGTGGTCGAACGAGTTTTACTTTTTAAATTAAACGAACTTGAATTTCTGGTTTTTGGCTCGCTTCTCCCATTGTGTCAGAATTTCGCGCGAATTTGCCAAACATAATGATTTTCTATAGATTTTGAACTAGTTTTCTAGTACGGTTGAAAAGGTGTTAGTTTTTTGTAAAATATAAGTAGTTCTATGGTTGTTAGGGAATTATTGCGAAATCCTGTGGGTTGGTCAGCTGTTATTGTGCACGTGAATTTTATTAAAGAATTAGGAAAACTGGTTTTCTGCACGTGCTCGTTCAATGTATTTTTAGATGGGTTATATTTTTATTTAGGTCCCTTTTACTACAAATGTGACCAAAGAATGAAATTGATGTCTAACAAAGAGGAATGACTAGTGCATTCAAATACCTACTTTTGTTAACTCTACTCTTAATGAGTAGGGAGGTTATAGAAGAAGATTCATAGTTAATACCTGCAACAACAAGACCCTCTGCACTGCAGGACTTTGGGCCTCTTCTACATAAGAGGAGTTTGCTATTATGTTCTCGCTTGACAGGAAGCTTGAAGATTGCAATTTAAAGAGTTTAGAGAGCGCTATTGCTGCTCATCGAACCAACCTCCATTTAATGTGCAGTCC